GAGTAGTCGAACACAGATCCACTGATCCTTCAACACAGAGCATCTTCAGAAGACAAGTTGATAAAATAAATTTTAAAATCTGTATTGTTCCATACAAGTGTGTATTGAACCTAAAGTACTGTTCGATACGGGTACGTACTTGTTTTATGTTGGTCTACAATGCAAAGCAAAAGAAGTGTCAAGACATTATTTTTCTTTTAAAAATTAGCCAAAACCTTTACAGTCAAATAAACTTATAAAAACTTCATTTCCTGTCTAGTCGATAGTTTCTATTTAATTCCACATTAAAGAATGACATCACCTGCCACCTTTTGTAAAGAAACAGCTGGCACAATTTGTTATTGCTAACATCACTGTCAGCTACTAACATACCAGATTTATCTGTTTAAATTACTCTTAGAGCCATTTTTTATTTTCTAAAGCTGCAGCAGCCATCTTGGATTGAGTTAACTCTAAAAGTTACAGTTTCAGGTGACCATCCAGTAGTTACTTTGTGAAGGCTTTATTGGAGTACGTTTTGCACACACATACACCTACTATGTCTATGTATCCTTGTGAGGCCCTTCCATTGACTTCCATTCATTTTTTGAAAATTTTGTATCCTAACCATGACCATTTACCCTAAAATTAACCTGACAGGTAACCTGACACTAAAACTAACCTAAACTCAATTCACTCCTTGGTCCTAAACCCCCATCCCACCAATGGCATTTCCCCAAATGGGGACTGGGTTTAGGTCCCCGTATGTACCAGCTGGTCCCCACATGTAGGTGTGTAGTCTAGAAATGCCCCTCATATAACAGGAAATACCAGGCCACACACACACATACACTCTCTCTCTCTCTCACTAACGCACACAATTACATTATGGCCTGCCTTTTATTGCAGCAGGCTATAAATGTCCTTTCCAATAAAAACCCATGTAATGGTCATAATGTTCTCTGCTGAGTTTGTTGATGTTGTAACTGGATGGTTTACTTTACGTTTGTTTCTGTATTTTAATCAAGTTTAACATGGAGTCATTTGTTCCCTCCACAGAGTCCAGGTGTGTTGGCAGCAGTCGACTCCACGGTGCACAAGGCTGTGGGAGATCGCTACAAGATCTCTGGTTTCCCCACTGTGAAGTATTTTGAGAACGGTGAGGAGATGTACACTCTGCCACACCTCCGGACCAAAGACAAGATCATTGAGTTCTTACACAAGTGAGTCATCTTCGAAACACACATCTAACCAGGGCCGGAGTGGGACTCACTTTCAGCCCTGGAGTTTGATGCCTCAGACTGGCCCACTATAGATCAAGACATGTTATTATTAAGTGTTTTTATAACCTCTAAATCATTGGTAATAAATAGTAAATGGTACTGAAATTCAGTGTACTTTACAAAAATATTYCCAATTCAGTGCAAGTGGTGTTGCTTCACAATGCAGATTTATTACAACATACGTACACATCTCCACAATTATTATTTACAACACATCCTTTTCAACAATATCAGAATCTAGGCT